ATGAACACGCCAAATAGGCCAAAGGTCTACTTACTCTGCCTGAAATATAATGTATAGAGATTCTCTGAATAGAGATTCTCTGTACCCCTCAGAGAGTAAGTCTAGTCACAATTCTTCACAGATTCGATTGGAATGTGTATCCATATTTCTTATTAAATTTTGGTATCGAGCTCGTTTTCTCTTTTGCCCTACTAGAAATAGAAAAATAGATTAAGCCGTAAACTCGAGTCGCAATTGCAGCAAACATATCATGAGAACAAGCCCAGTTTTTTCTTTTACTCATTTCGTCGAACCCATCTCTGATAAATAGGCGAGTTACACATTTCATGTTTTCATTTCTTTTCCTCTGCATTTCGAGCGCACTTTCGTTTTTTCCCCAAAACAAAAAACAAAGATTCCCACAGCAAGAACTGATTTCGGTCTCTGGAAGTTCTACAGAAAAACCGTTGGAGCTAGCCATAGTAGGTAGAGGGAGGCTATGGAGGGCGTAGCGGCTGTTAACATAGTGGAACTACAAATCAAATTTATTGCTGCAGATCTCACATCAACTAGCGCATTTCCCTGACATGTGTCAACCGAAACTCTTCGAATGCCCTAACTTGAGAGGGCCTCTAAAACTTGTTCATTCAATGCGTAACATTACGGAATGGGTCTCTTTCCTTCTCTTTTTGTATCTCTTTCTCCATATCTCTCTGCCTCTCTCTCTCCTTTTCTCTCTCTCTCTTATCTTGCTTCCTTCTCTTGCTCCCCTCTCATCAGTCTCTCTATATTTGTTCCTTCTCTACTTGTCTCTGTGCATCTCCTTGTTGCGTTCTCTATGGCTCCAACTAGATCTTTCCTTCGAGAGAGCGATCAGTCCCTCTCTCTCTCGGTCCTTTCTTCGCTTCTGTCTCTCTCTCTTTCTCTCTTGCATCTCAGAGCATTTCAAGTTCGACTTGTTCAAGCCAGATTCCAGTTTTATGCCTCTTTTCGTTTCTTCAATTTCTTGGTCAGTCGGCGTCGACGTCGCCGTCGCTGCTTTCACCGTACGCTTATCGATGTAACTGCAAGTGTCAACAGCAAACAGCCAACAATGAACAACCACAAGAGCAACAACAACAAGCTAAAATCGGCTGTCACGTAAAACGCAACGCCTGCCGCGCCCAGCCTTGACCTAGAGCCAGACTTTTGGGCTTGGACTCGAGCTGAAAACTCAAGACCCGGGCTCGACTTTGGGTCTGTGTGTGCGGGCGATCGGCTGAGGGGGCTTCTAGCGTTGCAGAGGAGGGGAGCTGCCTATGTCTCTGCGTGTCTGCACACGTCTGGGAAAACGTGCATTAGAAGACGCCCATTTGATGGAAAGCTGAGGCGCATGAGGCCCATTGAAAGCTTTCTTTCAGCCAGACCCAGAGACGACGAGCTGCGAACCAAGGCGTCGCGACACTTGGCCAGTGGGCCACACAGATGCACACACGCACGTTAGAGCTTGGCAAATATGCGAATTGAGCAACTGCCGAAGGGGGGGCGCAGGGGGGGATGTCTTGGCACTCATCAGCTGCAAGGAAAAACTCTGCAATTTTTCATTACGCAAAAAACAGGAAAACAGTTAACAGAAGAAGTGGAAAAAACAGGTAAAGGAAAGAGCCCAGCTGACACTCAGACTAAGCAATACCCTGTAAAGCAACATTGGGCTGGCTTCACTGCGTAGATGAGCAAACTTGAAATCTGTATAACTCACAGCCAAATTGCGATAGCTACGAATACGTATCGATGATCATCAGGGCTTTGGCAACCACTGAAGGAGGCAGGAAAATGTCTAAACATCGTCCATACACCCCTGGATACAGTCCAGCTAGCCACAGGGTATACAAATGCGTTGTGTTGTGGTTATTGCCCAACCAAATGAGTTGACCAACAGCTAAGCCACAAGAATCCGAAACGATGACAACCAAATTTGTACATAATACTATTAATTAAGCCTAAAGACCGACTGTCCGTCCATCTCTCTCTCTCTCTCTCTCTCTCTATTACTCTCTTATTTTCGCTCTCACTCTAAAGTGGTTTTTGGTAAGCCACCTACGATCCTTAAATCGACTCGAACGCCAACGCACAGCAGCAAAGCATATCCAATCAGAAGCAGCTCGAGGGCTAAATTTAGTGGGGAGTGCACGACTAAGAAATACCCTTGAAGCTGAAGCTGCCGTTGCATGCCACAAAAAGTGACTATATGAGAAATATAATTGAGAAATTAAAAAAAATGTTAACTATTTAGGTCGATTATTCACTAAGAGATACCCTGTAACGCTTGAATTGAAAACTCCATCTTATAATTGCTCAAAAGTTATATACTCCATCTCTAGCTTTCTTATAGCTAAGGAATTGATTAGTTTATAATTCTTAGTTTATGCAAGAACACCAACGAATATACTCCATTTACATCATTTTAGAGGGTATCAACTATACGAAAATTTGCCTAAATATCTATAAATCTCTATTTACCATTGGAGAATTCAAGTGCGTTGGTGTCTCTTTGATTTTGGAATATCGATGTCTTGCATTAATAAATCAAATACTCGACTAGCTATACCCTGGAATCAAAAGCTACATGGCTTTCTCTAGAGAATAACTCTCAGAAAAAACCAAAAATATTTCGGAATTTCTATATTAAAAATGTATTTCTTAAATATATGTACTACATTCAATATATATACCCTGGAACGCATATACCCTACACAAATCTCAAATAGAGCACACACTTTCAAACACTCTAGTTCAAATTTCTGGACATCAAAGTGAGCCTTGAATCGATTTCAACGTTCGGAGAGCCTAGGGAGTCGAGCACAAATGGAAATATATTCATTCTATTACACATTGTGAAACTGAACAGTACACAAAAATAAAATAAAATTTTCCAAAAAAAAAAATCAAAACATTTTTCCAAAATATAAATTTTCCAAATTTATTTTCGTCGACTACATTTTAACCCATATACACATATATATATTTATTTTTTTTCTTTTGTGTCAAAAATTACAAATATGGCTCCATCACCGATTCGCCGTAAGGCATCAACAAAATGCAAGGTCTGTGGCAAGAAATATCCCAAGGCGGCTTTGAAAATGCAGAAGAGAACCATTCGCGCCGAACCCCGGGCCAAAGCTCTGGCTAGGAAACGACGTTTGCGCTCAAAGAAAATGCGTTCGAACTTTTCACCTGAAGCACTCAATAAGAAGGTCACTACGCCCAGGCGCCGCGCCGTCAAAAAAGTGACCAAAGCAGTGAAGAATAGGAAAGTTAAGCCCACACATGCCGGGAAGCCCAAAAGGACTAATACTAAACCCCGACCAAAGTCAGCCAGGAAACCGAGGAAAGTGAGCAAGCCACGGGCCTAAGCGATGACCAAACCGAGTGATATAGGACCAAAATATATTTCGGACTTGTCTTTTAAATTGAACGGAGAGCTCTTCTAGAAGAGGTACCGCAGCAATCTGTGCTGTGCCAACGTGTTTACTATTGTTGTTAAATGAAATGAAATTAAAACAAAAATGCGCGCATAACCCAATATCTTTTATTTTACAAGCATTCCCTAGTTCTTGTAGGCATATTTGTTGCGCTCTGCTAACTGCGCAGTTGACGCAGCGATTGCGCTTGGGTGGCAGTACGAATATGTTTACTTGCTTCACTTTCAGAGTGTTTTGACGTAAAACTCGTATGTGCCTAGGCACAAATGTGTGGCGCAAGGGTAAATCTATGCACAACAAAGCAATACATGATTCTACAGTCATCGTAAGTCTCGCAAAATCGAAAAAAAAGCTGGTACTGCGTGTCTGGTGTGCACACTTTCATAGGATATTTTCCAGTCAATCGCAGCACTGCCTCATACTACCTATATCAGTGCCATCTACTGGCATAACTCTTAGTCTCATGCTGCGCACAGGACAGGACTCGTCGGACTCCTCTATACCCATACTGCCTAGCTCAAGCTTAACGCTGGCCATAGAGCATACATCACAGGTGAGTGCTACCTACAGGGTATCTGCTAGTCAAAGAGTGCATTACAATGGCATACAGATTGCTATCCGAATAGCTCGCTGCAGCTGCTTTGGCTCGCAGCATAGCCAGGGTATCTATAGGTCGGGCAGTGCTGCCTCTTCCGCGCCTTATTTAACTTCTCGATGCAAAATTATTGCAGACTTTGCGGCTGCTGCTGCTTAAAGCGCTGCATGGAAATATGACGTTGCATACTGTTCAGGGTGGACGCAATTTGAGCTGCTGACACACACACACACAGACACACATGCACATTGTAGTCTAGGTGCATGTGTGTGGCTTACAAAGCTGAAGCAAAAAGGAGCCTTTAAAAAAGGGTTGCAAAAGCAATAGAACAAATGAAAGAGACTAAAGCGGTGTGAGCATGTGTGTGTGTGTGTGTGCTTATGAATTATGTGTGTGTGTGTGTGTGTGTGTGTGTGTGTGGCTGTTGCAAAAGCCTCGAAGACATAAAAATTACAACAGCAGCAGCAAAACACAAACAAAAATCGCTTGACAAACAGACCAAGACTAAGCGAGTGTATATACAGGGTATATGCACACATACATACATACACCATATGTATGTGTATGTGCTTGGCATAAGTCAAAATCTAAATAACCGCAAGTGTTAATATGCGCGAACAGACACCCTCGGCCAAGGCGTAGTCCAGCAGGATACGTGAGGAAGCCAAGGCTATGGTAGGGTAGAAGCTGCTCCAGCCCCAGAGTGGGCGGCTAGAGAGTTGGGGGCGGGGGCGGGCGCGTGCTCTGTCTTTCTCCCAGCACTCGTGAGGGAGGCCCTGCAAGAGCTCGCCAAGGTACGTTGGCATTGTCAAGACCATCTCCTCGCCAGCCCCTCCCCCACCTCCCCTCCGCAGTCCGTTCCATCAACCTCGCTCAGAATGCACTTTAGCTTCTTCCTCTTCTTGCTCAGTGCTATGAACTGGCACGCCGTAGCGCCTCTGTCTTTGAGGAGGTGTTTCACTTACCTTTTAGCTGTTTTCCCGCCGTGTTCCCAAATGGCGATAAAAGTTGGAAAAAAATCAACTGTAACGAGAAGTAAACAAGAGAAGAGAGAAATTAAGTTGGAGCGGGCCAAAATGAGTAGAGTAAATAAGAAAGAAAGAGAGAGAAATGAGAGCTCTCACTTCACACACAGCGAAAGCTCGTTCGATTCTGGTAAGCTAATCCATTTTAGGGAATATTTCTTTATCTGCTAAACTATCGGGAATCTATTTTGTTAGGCGGAAAGACCTTGTAGACCTTGTAGACCTTAAGAATTGATGCGTTCTATTGGGTGTAGCTGAGGAGCGCGAGGAAAATCATTGGACATTGGGTGTCAACAGAACGACAGCGATAACGATAGCGATAACGATAACCATGACTAAGAGGATGACGATGACGATGACGATGACGAGGATGATGAGACACCACTAAGAGGCGCAGCATTAGCTTGAAATTCCTATATATTACTAAGACCCTCGTACAAAGACTAACAGATACCCCGTAAACACTTGCGATGAACGACTGATAGATGCCCTGTTTCTAAGTATAGTATGTCTTGGAAAAGATCTTTAGATGATAAATGACTTGTAGATGCCCTGTATAAATAGCTCAACAATAGATAGTAATGAACGACTGAGAGCTACTCAGCAAGTTTTCCTGTATGCTAATACAAGACAGCTGAAGCCAACTCCTTAGTCCAATGCAGGGTCGCAAATGGCCTAGCCATACCAATATAACCTGATTCCCATTTGCATATGCATATGGGATATATTTATATGTATTTATGTATATAATATCATATTACACACGCATACAAACAAGACCGCTAATAATTTAGAACATGCACAGCTCATTAGAAAAGGGGTCAGGCCACCCATGGAGGTCGAGGGATGCCTGGGGGAGGAGCAGTCCGAGAAATTTGGGCAGCCAAAAAGCATGCAACGCTTTGTATTGCTCAATGGGCGATTGTCACGCAACACATTCTGAGCGAGAGTAGGTGAGTTGAGAAAGAAGAAGAGGCGCCTCAAAGCGCGGCGCGATAATTTGTGGCAGCTTGAGTGTGTGGAAAGTCGAGAGACTACAAGTATGTGGCATATTCGTAACGAATGCGAATCGCCAATGCCTAAAGCAAACAGCGAGCGAACCAAACAAACAGACAACTAGCTGCCACGCCCCACGCCCCACGCCCCTTTCGCCGTTAGCTTCAATGTTGCCACTCGAAGCGAATGCGCACGATGTGGCAACGCGTTCACTGGAGTCTTCAAGTAGAAATAAAAGATCTAAGGCTGCAAAGCGCATTAAGTGCTCATAAAGAAATAAAAATCTGATTTAGAATACCCTGTAAATAGTTGAAGCGGCCAGTTAGACTAGTTGACAGCTGAGCTAATGCTATTATTATTATTATTACATGTGATATACATGTATAGCTGGAAGTCAGACTTATTTCCATTTGAGCCATCCAATCATATTTTGTAGACTCATGGAACTCGGCTACTATGCATGCTAGAGTGCTCCAATTCGACATGGAACTGTTGTCATATCTCATCTTATAGTATATAACATTAATTTCATTAAGATATTAGATCCCTAGATCTACAGGGCAACCACTAGCCCAGCTAGCCACATTCAACTGGTTGTCTATTTACTGTATAGCTCTATTATTCTATTTTGTTTTTTCGACTTAGTGAAAGTGCTGAAGCGCCAACAGCACTTGACAATTATATATTATACGAACGAGTACAAAAAATATTATTGAGAAATTTATTTTTGTATTGTCATCGAGCATGCGATTCAATTGATTTTCAATTAAGCACTCGAACTACCCTATACTTGTGTCCGTGTCTGTTTCAATGAACCCGATGAACGGAACCCGCATTTCAATTACAGCCGCACTGCAAGCACGACTAGCAAATGCCCTGTAAGCAGTTCATGAATATATGAATCTCAATCGAACTCGAGTGGGTTGGACCTTCCGAAATCACTTTTCCTCATACATTTGGTAATTGCTGATTCGCTGACATTTGCATCATGAAGACGACACTGAATTTGAATATACCCAGTTCACATATCATTTGAATGGGCATAGAGCATAATGGGCGCTGCAACTGTTGATGATTGTAAGACCGAGCCCTTTGCCCCTTAATTGCTTAAATCAACGCGACGCCTGCTGCTACAGTTGCTGCAGCGGCTGCAGCGGCTGCGACTCGACTGTTGACTCTGGCAAAGGTCAATGTTTTGCTGCGGGCCGCTGATAAGAGCCCAGTGGTGCATCCTTTTGCATCCTTTGGCACGCCCAGTGTCAATGACAGACAGCAGCCTCTCGTTTCTCTCTCTCTCTTAGTCTCTGCTGTGTCTCGTTGCCAGCTCTCACTCTCTTGACTCGCTCCTCGTTCTCCTTGCCCTTCAATCTGCCCCACTCTCGCTCTCTCCCTCTCTCCCTCTTTCTCACTCCCCTTGTCTGTCTCGCCGTCCTTTACCACCCCAGTATCTCGCTCCCTTGTCTGCTTATTTACTCTCCCTCCCTTTCACTCTCTCATTCTCTCTCATCCTCTTCTCTGTCTCTCTCTCTGCTGTCAACTGTCAACTGGGCAGCCCCTTCATTAGCGCAGCTTTAACGCCAAAAACCAAAGGCAAACACACCTAGACTCAGTCCCTCTCCCTCTCTCACTCTCTTGCTCTTTCTCTCGCTTTAGTTCCCATAATATTTACCTTTAGTATTCGCTAAAAAGCTCAAAACATTTGCTTGCGATAAGATTGCGCGCTGTAGGCTCCACAGACTGTTCCCTTGTTTATCTCTCACTCTCTCGCATTTCCTCTCCCCTTTCTCTCTCTCTCTCTCTGTCTATTCTTCGCCATTCCCGGTGGCTGATCTGGCGCTGTCTTTTGACCACGTTTGCCCATCCAGTTGGCAAATATTTGCCCAACGTTCGGTTCGTTACGTTTCAGTGTTTGCGTTCCGATAAAGAGTTGAATAACTCATATGCTAATCGGGGCGAAAACAAAGTCTGGCATCTAATGCGACATATTTTGTGCACAGGTGGGCAGATTGCACTGTTATCGATCGACCTATCGATAAGTCTGTGGAATCATGGATACTTTCATTTGCTTAGTGACAAATTATATGGGAATACAAAGTGCTCAAATGCTGATTCTTGTTATCGATATCGATTATAAGTGGCGATCTTTATCGATAAGATTCGTACAGCACCCATCGACTGCATTGCTCGCCATCTTTTGCTACAAATTACAGTTAAGTAAGTCTCTAATCATGATGTTATCGACTACCAATAGTATTTACTATCGATAGCAACAAGAGCAAATTATGCCTCCAACCGATATCTATAAATACTCAGCCTCCATTTTTAATGGTCTCTAACAACAGAAAAAAGCACTCAACACGCAATCGACGCAACTCGAACTCCACCTCGAACTCGAACTTGAACTCGAACTGGAAATTGAATTCGAAATCGAAACTAATTGCAGCACCACTGGCTGGCCATCGACCATGTCTAGACGGTAAACATAGGGCCACAGATTGCCCCACGGCTCGTGGCCATGTCAAACAATAATCAATTCAAGTGCAACTGCAGCAATAACAATAATTTGAATGTCGTATACCCTGTAATGGGCAATGAATATCGTCTTGCGAAATGGGGGGTTTATCAACTGCTGCTACAAGGGACGATTATCAATTCATTTATCCATAATTCATATGGATGCTGATTAACATACATTAAAATATATTTATCTAAGCTCTGCAGTCAACTTGTTTCGTTATCGATACTTCTATCGATATATGCTCTATTTGAATATATTCATTTTAGATCTGTTTTCTATTATTAATAAGAGCTTTCATCATATTAAATCGATTGCTAATATACTTTGACAGGGTATCTTATAGTCGTTCACACGACCATTGGCGCCCAGCCTTTCAACGCCCAGACACGACACGACACGCGGATCAAGATCACATTTCTCAGCCAGTCGATCGCAGTGAATCTACAGATCGATGCGAGTCGCCCGCGCTTCCTCCTCGTAGAGCGAATCGCAAGGGGGAATCGTTGAGGCATGCGACTCTCCCTGTGTCGCTCTCTCTCTCTCACTCACTCACTCACTGTGTGTGTGTGTGCGTGCCACATCTATTTTTAGACAGGCAGCCTGCCAGCTGCCCGCTGGACGAGTCGCCAGTCGCAACCCTGTGCCTCAGTTCCTCAATCGCACACTTTGTCGCCCCGTCCCATCCTGCCCTGCCCTGCCCTGTTCTGCCCTGCCCTTCCGCTCGATCGCTAATAGATCGTAGCTATAATTTAATGGCATCTGCAACTGGCTTCGAGTTTTGTGTTTGAGTTTTGAGTTCTGGGTTCGAGAGGTTCGGTTTGAGGGCTCGGGACACGGGACTGCTCCATATGCTACATGACTTTGTTTTATATTTTTAGTTTTGCTTCCTGCTTCTGGCACTTGAGCAAACCAGAAAGAGCACTCAATTGTGGGTGAACGAGACTGATATACCCTAGCATTTATCATACGATATAGTACTTGTGCGAGCAGCAATTCCACTTATGTTACAGAAAGTGAAAACTAAATAGTTATCTATTTAAGGAGAGGGTCTTAGATTATATTTGTATCTGATGGTATCACATGATAACCTACACTACTCTCGATCAGTCCGCTCTCGATCGATCATAGTCAAATCCAACTACTTTTCAGCTGTTACTAAATCAAGCATCTCTATTAAATTGGTTTGTTTACCGAGTGCACATAGATCACTTGAACACTTTAATTTCCAGCTTCGGGGCACTTCAAAAGCCATTCGACTGCTTCTTCTTCCACTGCTTTCCGGTTAATGGTCTTTTCCCACATTGATTTATGTGCAAAAAATTCTTCGTATCGCAGCTTTGACAACTCTTCGAGCATTTCCTCAATTGTCCCTCGAAGACATTTCCATTCGAAATTATTTTCCCTTAAGATTCAATGCACGTGCATTAAGCACAACTAGCATATACCCTGTATTATGTATCTTAAAATAAACTTGAGGTAAAACT